ACAGAATTAGAAGGCTTAACAATTGTGTTAGCCTGTCCCACTATTTATAATAAGAGTTAGGAAAACCTTAGGAAACCCGAGGTATTACATAAAAGACATAAATACCCTTTTAACAAGTATTATCATTGCTTATATTTGAAAACTGAAAATCCGTTTTAGATAAAGTACCTTGAAGTCAGTCAAATCTGGTACCACATAGTTAGGCAACTTTTCAGGTACCACAATGTAACCACCTGTATCAAAATGTTAAAGAACCTCCATTGTAAAGAACCTTTTATTTGTATAACAGTACAAGTTTAAATCATCTACAGACTATGATTCCTCATGACATTCACAAGGCATATAAACTTCTAATGAGGAGAATTGAACATATCTTACATAGATACACCTGTAGTTTGGAAACCTCACAGAGACACAGAGTTCACAAAACATTCAGAGTTTATAGTTAGTATCTATGTTCAGCGGTGCCAATCCATTCGAATTTAAAAGAAGCATTTATTCAAAACCTATCACATGAGAAGACTTTCATATTCTGCAAATATGAAATCATAATTTCTCAATAACTTTTTGTGACATTTTTCCTTCCAGATAATCTTGGATGCGAATATTTGGAAGAAATATAAATTTAATTAACTATCATAGAATCCTAATTTAGATAACGGTTTCCTTAGAGATGGGAGAGGATCTTATTAGTCATTTATTATCCTACAGACTCTGCATGACTCTTCAGTTTAATTTTGCATAGAAACGTTTAGTATTTAAACAATACACTAGAACAATCATGTAAAGGACACAAATGAGCATATAGAGAGAATTATTTGTTTCCGAGCCGAATATAGAGTTGTAATTTCACTTCTAGTAAATTAGCAAGTTAAAATCTCACAAATCCAGTTGGTTAACCTTGTGTAGCAGAAAATAACATAACATGTTATCACTTTAACCATACTAACCAACTTATCTTATATAGACATCCTCAAAATAAGTCAGTGAATCATCCATAGTATATTTGTTGCACTGCATCAAAAATTCAACAAACATGTGATTCGTCATACTTGGCATCTCTATAACACATGGAATTATGCTAATTGTACAATGTTTTTGTAAAACATTTCTGACAATGTTAGTTGTGACAAAAAAGTATTGGTTGAAATGATGAATAGATTTTTTAAGCTGTCAAATGATAACATGCCCCATGGCATGTTGTCAACAATGATGTCAAAGTCATTGTACATCAAGCACTACTCTAAAATATAATGGGAAATTTAGCAACCACAGTTTTCAAACTTTCATAGATATAGCACATGGATCC